CAGAATAAATGCATAAAGCACATACTAGCAAAACCCCATAATATTATCTGTCACAATTCAAGGTTACCAAACATGCAAGGAGCAAGTTATTCATTCCCATACAAAGCATGGTGATGAGGCTGAATAACTGCTGAGAGCGACAGAAGGAGTTTGGTTTAGATACACGGGAGGCCTTTCTATGCGTGTGAGTTTGTGTGTGGGGTTGTTAATTAGCAAGCTATTTGTGTAGAATGAAATGTTCTTCTTATGATCTGTAGAGTGTCTGTCACTGTCCCTCTGCACGGTAATTTCTGTGCTGTGAAACTCTCAAATACATGATTAGATCTCCTACGTCAAACTTTACTATACTTTAAAGACACATTAATTAATACTCTTACATAACACCAATTCAAATGGCTATGTGGGTTCATTCTGACAGAAATAAACAAAGAAAACTGCCACTTTTCTATAGGACTTTTTAGCCTCTTTCAGCTTATTTTTTTATTGCATTTACTGTAGAGTTCATTCTCAGTAATCTAATGAACCCAGTTTTCTGCAGCAGGATGCAGCTATTTTAGCAAACAAGCTCTAAAAATCCCACTGTACCAACTGCTACCTGCCCAATGCCAAAAAGCAGACAAACAAAGTTAGCAACTACAAGTTGAAGCATGGAGCAGCTAATTAGTGGAAACAAAGAACAAGACTAAGAGGAGACTGAATATTGGACTTACATTCTTCAGGTGGACATGAAGATAATTCTAAATAAAGGCCAATTTGTCTATGTGTGTACTGGGTGTGTAAATTGGTACAGTTTGTTAATATGTTAGCCATAACTGTTTTACCTGGTAATAATGTGTCAGGACTATGTTTCTTCCAGCATGTTTGGTGTTTTTCTGCCCCTCGTGGTCAAAATTCATTTAATACAGTATAAGAAAAATAAACCACGAAAAAACTCTAGTACTTGAGAACTATGCTGCATTGCTGGGCCCATTTTGATGTTTGGCTGTAGATTTGTCCTGATTCCTGGCAATAAGTAGTCAAGTCTTCCACCACCTGGAGATGCACTGATCCAACTTTTCCCCTCCTGATGCAGACAGGGTTTCTGCTGTTAGCGAACACCAATCCAGTACCGGTGCTATTGTTTGTCAACACATTTGTGTCAACACTGGAAAGAAATGTAAGACATTGCACATCATTTGTTTCAGAGAAAATGTGGGCAAAGCAAGCAAAAATCACAGCATAAAAACAAAACAAAAAGAATTCAGTGAACATTAACATTGTCATTTCTAGCAGTGTTAAGAGTATGTGAAGCTATACTAGTCTTTTAAAAATGAGATCATTCTACAGCAGTGAATAATAATGCCAAGTATGGAAGGACTACTTTAAAAATCTATTCAACTGGACTGGAAAGTTAATCGGTAAATAAGTACCTAGTGAGGAATGGTAATTAGCAGCCGCCTTACGCTCAGTGCTGTAGTCTCAACACTGTAATTACTTTTCAGTAACTATGCTCCAGAGTTCTCAAAATATGAAATCAAAATGGCTCTGCTAATCAGTGATGATTTTCTGACATAATCAAACAGCCAAACCATGGTTAGCTACAGTATAAAATGACTGAGTGTAAATATGCTGATAATATCAGTTTCTTTATATTCACAAAACTACTTCACATAAAAGAGTTTTGAAGGATTAATTAATATATATTTGTATTATACTTGAACTTCAGTTCGACAAGTTCTCACTTGTTTTGTTTTTCATCATCAGTCATGACTATGATTGTGGAAAATCTAATCACATCCAGTAATTTTTTAAACAAAATTAAATGTTTCCTCCCTTAACATTTTCTTTCAAAATTCAACAAGCAATTACTTAATTTTAGCATCTGCAATTTGATCATCTTGTTCTTTTTCTCCACTGAATGTAACTGATGACAGCTACCATGATATTCATCAGTGTTGCCAAAACATAAAATCAATTAGTGGATGTCCTTTTCAATCCACTGGGCCTCTAAATAGGATGTGATACTGGGCCCCCAGCCTGATGAATCTGATTTACAGCCACCCAAGTCTGCCTTTCTGTAGGGCCCCTGCAGTTTTAACGCATCCTCAAATTGTTCATTCCTTCCCTCCATGACTGCTGCCCTTGTCAGGAACCAATCACCACAAACTCATACTGGGAAAAATATACATACTACCCTCAAATAGTCAGCCATTTATGTTTATGATTATTACTTATTGCCAGCCAATTACTGCTGCGTATATAAAACTATTCACCATATGTGAAACAGTACAAATCTGACGCCATGTCGCAAATGCCGAGGTAGGGTGTGTTCATTTAATTCCTACCACTTAGAGAAGAATAATATGCAGCTGAACCTGGTCAACTAATTACAGTAATGATAGCAAAATGTTCAGAGCGGTGCGGGCAGATAATCACTGAAGCATCACAAGACTGAGCAGCAAATATGCTAATTTAAATCTGAAGTAAATAGGGGCTTGTTTTTCCCCTTCTTTTTTTTAAAAGCACGAGTTTACCGCCGCATGTTAACGACATGCAGAAACACAGCATACAAAACTCACATTTATTCACTTCATACACCTCACTTCATCAGGAAGACACATTAGATTGGACAGATATTATTGCAGCCCCAGGCACCAAAGGCACTTTTTTAAGCCTTGTTGGGCCTGGCAACTTGTAGAGGAGCATCCTTCCATTTGCAGCAGGGGCTCAGGGAAGAGAGCTGCATGCAAACACACACACACTTAATAGCCAATACGTGCTTTAAAGCTGACACGTCCTAATAAGTACAGTGGGCTGTCAAATGTTAGTCCTCAAAAGTTTAGCTAAACCAGTCTCCACACACAAACACCTAGAAGCTACTGCTGTTGGTAAGCATGCTCAATGACACTTTGGCACAAATTGCTGAAGAAACTGATGTTGCCTTCATTTGCTCCATGAAAGCTCCAGTTTCAATTGTACATAGGACTTTTCACACATTTTAGTGCTGTTAATTGGACACAATAACAAAATGCAACCCATTAATCAAAGTGTTTTTTTTATATTTGATGTTTAAGATTCAAGTGGTGCTGGGCTACTCTGCATGACAAATTAAACAATGCAGAAAATGCATAATTAAAAATGTAATGAAAATACAGTAACAAATATTTACACTAAATGTGAAACAAGAACGTACAATAATCAATCATATCCATCTTCCATGAATTGACTTGGTGGACATGCCATTCTGCACCTTATCATTACATCTCGGCAACTCAAATTTAGTAGCAAATTCCACGTTTGTATTCATCACTTTTTCTCTAAGAAATCTTTCAGGTGTACTCAACTCTTAAAACAGCACTTTAAGACAAATTTCCTCCTCCCACTTCGATCCCCTCTGTGGATTCAAACCGACCACCTGCCTCTTCCGCTCTCTAACCTTCAGGCTAAAGCTGCTTCAGTTCCTTTGATTCCCTCCTCCTCCCTCTCTGCATCTGCCTCCCTGTGAGGCTGATGGACGGGATCATGAGGCCCTGGGTGAAAGTCTCGCTGCCATTTTGACACATCTATTTGACAAGGTGAGAATATCTCCGGAAAAAAGTCTGACTACCCCCCATCCTCACGTCCTGCTTTCACTTACTCACACAGCTCACATCTTGAGTGACAGTATAGCATGGTGACACATGTTTTACATATGATGTGAAAAGTGAGGGAAGATAGGGGGACATAATAGCATCCCTTCCTTTAGGGAAAGTGTGGCGGAGAGGAGTGCTGCAGGTGTGTGTGCTCAAGGTTCGAGTTAGTGGAACATCGTGTCTGGGAGACCCAGAATTTCCAGCACACTCCCCACTTGTGAGGGGCTGAAATCACAGCTGCAGCAAAGGGAAATGGAGTCTGAGATGGAGAGCTGTCATCATCTACGCTATAAATCTCACAAATACAAATCCTTCCATCCGTACGTCCTGTTTCCAGCCTGAATTCACTCTGCAGGAAGGTTTTTTCCTTCTCTGTGGTGGGGGAATTTTGCAGAACAGAGTGCAGCAGAATCAGAAAAAGTCAGAGTTTGTACCACAGATGAATTTTAAATTAGACCCACAGAAAACAGCCCTGACATTAGAAATGACTAACACCAGCTGGCACAATGAGAGTTGTAGCCTGTACGTAACATGATTAATAGATTTGGGTATAGAAAAGGCTGAGTGTGCATGTGTGTTGGTGGGCATGCAGTGCTGGTGGTCGCTGCTCATGAATTTAGTGTTTGATTTGATCCTGCACACACCACTTTGTTTGGGCAGTTTTATGCTTCTTATAACAAACGCGCACGCACAAATGCAGTCACTCCCACATAGGCACCTAACACCGCACACACCGGCTGCCACTCCGCTCCGCCCCCAGCATACACATACAGACAACACTATTCACCTGCAAAGGCAGGTGCACAAGCGCGCACACCGCATGTACGCGCACAATTAAGCACAAAGGCTGGTACACGCGCGCAAACACACAAACACTTGGACACACACTTCTCTGCATTGGCATTTTCGCAGTCATTCGGGGGACCAGCAGCGGCAAAAAAGACCGTCCCCTTTCGTTATCTATGCTCACACAATTTGCATACACAGGGAGTCTATAGCCTACTGGGCTTCTGCCGACTGGGTAAAATTGCTCTAATGCTGATAAAATCCATGCAAGCACATGGAGAAAATCTGACAAGTGCCAGTGCTTCATTACTGTCACCCATCAAATAATAATTTTTTCTATCTAGTTCTTTAAACAAACAGCATCTCTGCTCTGCCCGGGACCATGTAGTGTATCATTTTACATTAACCCCACTGGCTGATCTCGCAAGAAAAGAAATATCTTACAATACAACTTTGACAAAAAACAAGCGAGTAAGGAGTCGTTAAGAACACTTCCACTAATAAGTATTAAGCTCGGACAGGTCTAATTCGAGCAGCAACGACCAGCTGCAGAACATCGCATTCATTTTGTACAAGTTCAACCACAAGTGTTGTTCAACTTACCAATAAGAGCCAGCTGTAAGAAGTACAGTCCGAGGAAGTCCATTATGGAGTGCGACATTAATTCAAATGGATGCAATCCCGGGCGAGTGATGGTGTGCGAGAATAAAAGCCCTCTGTTTGTTGAAATTGGCACCGAAATTAAGACCGAAATAATCGCAGCTATTTCTCAAGTGATGACTGGCCACTTACGCTGACGCCGGAATCCACAGCATTGCATGAAAAAACAGGAGCGGAGCGGAGCAGAGCATCATTTTTTAACAGTCAAACTTTTGTCATGGAGGAAAAATGGGTTACAGCTGCACCAAATCAAGCCAGTTGTTCCAAATCAATGCAACGCCGACAAAGGGGAGAAAAACAGTTCGTTCCTTAGATGAAATACACCTTAAGAGTATTGAACATCCCTGCCCGTTTCATCCGTCCGTCCTGAGCGGCTGCTTCCTCTCCTCCTCGCCTCCACCTGCGCATCGTCTGGAAAATGCGGATGAATCACAGGGGCGCGTTGTTTTGCGCACTCCGACCTGCGGGTCTCACAATCCCTGTGATCCTCTGCTCCCAGGCGGGTCGACTGGAGATGCCCAGCCCAGCTCGTTTAAAAATCCAATCTTGGCCAAAGTTGAAATAGGACAAGTTAAATCGATAGCCTATTTCATACTGCCATAAAATGGAAACAATAAACCTGCTTAAAATAGTCTGTATGGGTGGGTAGACCATATCAACACTTCTCCTAAAGTAGGTTATTCCCCCCAAAAAGAGAAACTACCACAGTTAACTTGCATGAGAATCATTGATTTGGAGACTGTTGATAAAAATATTTTAGGGGCCTAAAAGCACCAGCAGCAGCAGCAGCACAGGACCAGCAGACAGTAAAAACAGAGGCTGACTCACAGTGTCTGTGCCTCTTAATGGTAAAAATGAAGAGACCATCTTGCAGTCAGCATGGGCTGTTTGAGGCTACCTGCTGTCTAATGTGCTCATGCTGGTCTCCTTTCAAAACAGAACAAAGAATGATTTAGTTTCATCTGGGTTTTGGGAACAGGGGGCCTGACTGACGCTCAGGACAAGCAGTACTATTATTATTTTGAGACACTGTCTACTTTTTATCTATAATAAAAGTGTTTGCCATGCAGCCCGAATAAGTCTGTAGAAGCAGCACTCTATAAATCATGGAGAATATTTCAATTCTTCATACTGACATTTGTTATGGATGCATTTTTTGGTCAAAGCCTGAATTATTTTCAAGCAGTTAAACTCACACTCTGGATGAGAAATTAATTTTTGAGTGGTTTCTCTGTTGGGAGTTGTTTTGCCTCCTCAAGCTTATTTTTGGAATTTTTACAGCATCGCAGGGACACTTTCATCCAAACCTTGTTTGTGCAATATGTAAAAAAGCTTGACACTCACAGAAACGTGGGAAGGATCATACTCTGTTTCTAAAGAAAAAGCTGCACAACCTTAGACACTTACAAACTTCTGTTCAGCGTTTTATTTTTTTTTCTGATAAGAGTGGGCAGTCTCCTCACACAGTAAGGAAATATACTGCAGTAGAATAGATGTTTCTAGGAAGATTTCTGATCCAAGGTCAGTAGCATGTATAGCTCAGAGGCCACTGCAGCTTTTGTCAGTGTCTTTTAAACTTTCATTACATTTGCAGATTTTTCCTTAGCCTGAAGCCCACTTTTAATTACTTACTGATCACAACACATGTACGCTGTCCGTATCATAAGGTCATTTGTGTATGTAAAAGAGAAAGGGAAACTGTAGAGATTTATATACATCCCACAGTGTTTGTGGTTTTACACAGAAATAACTTTAAAGCATTTAATTCATCCATAATATTTTTAAATATATACTGCTGAGCTGTGATAAGTTGGCTATTGTGCTGGTTTTGGCAATTGTTTTTATAGTTAATTTTTTAAATGATTATATCATGATTATATACATCTTTTTGGTGGCGTGAGACACTAAAAACAGCTTATTTTGTGGTGGTTGAAGACGCCATACTACTGTCTGCTAATAAAAATGTCAACCTGGTTTATCTGGTTTTAACCGTTATTTGATAATGTTAAACTTAATTATTTCCTTAAATAACACTCAAATATTTGAGTTACTGGTCCATAGGACCTAGTACATAGGAGCAAGGACATAGTACCACAAAAAGTCCAAGGTCGAACAATCCATCTTGCAAGGCATCGTGAGGGAGGCGATGGAACAGTGGATAAGACACATGCCTTTGGTGTGAGAGAAACAAATAGCAATTGTAAGTCGCTTTGGATAAAAGCGTCAGCTAAATGAATAAATGTAATGTACCTGAGCAAGACACTTAACCCCTAGTTGCTCCAGAGGCGTGCAAACTCTGACATAAATACAGCAGTTGTAAGTCGCTTTGGATACAAGCGTCAGCTAAATGAATTAATGTAATGTAATGTATTGAAGACGTGCGCTTGTGTCCATGTTTGTTTGCAGCAATCAGCATCCTAAGAGGAAGTACTGGCAGCTACAACATTAGCTACAGGCGTTCCCTAAAGTTAGACATGTGTTTTGCCCGGGATGATGTAGGTTGCTGTTGCTAGTGTAGAAGAAGAATGTTTCCAAGTTTATCCTTCTTGGTATTGAGAGTCCTGTATTAGACTGTATTGTTGTGCCAGCTACTGATTGTTAGCAGACCAATTCACAATTTCTCATCTCTCGTCAGTCTTCACTGCATTTGACTGTGAGGGGCGTGTTGTTGAGAAAGTAGATTTGTATGACGCCGTTTTGCTCTCTTTGGACTCAAAAAAGGTATAAACCTGAATTCAACTAGATGTGCAAGTGTCCAGTGACTGTGCACCAGAACACACCACAGTGTGGCCGAGACCTGTGGACCATACCGGCTACGCTGGGATCTCAGAGCCAGGAGCCCCTATTGGAACCAGCTGCTGTAGTGTTGGTAGTGGGCAGCAGGGGGCACTGGTATCTCTGTGCCAGAAGCCCCAACTAGAGCCAGCTGCTGGAGTTTTTGGAAGTAAATAGCTTGGGGTGCTTGCATGCCAGTGCCAGGACCAATGGCTAGAGTGAGCTGCTGCGGTTGGTATAGGTGGCAGTGGGGTGCGTTCGAGATGTCTGCAGCTGACTTTCACTGACTTGATCAAATGTGAGCTGACAGTGACCGCAGGGGTGGGGTATAAACCTCTGCCGTCAAGTCATACACACTCTACTTCCCGTAGAGTACGTGAGCTTACTGTGAGCTTAGAACAATGACTGCTCTCGCAACATTTGCCTTGCAAATGCCGGTAGATCAAGCAGTTCTGGTGCAGAATGCGAGAGCCAAGAAGAGGAGATGGGTTAGTTGGGCATATATGGTATGTGTGGTCCTGCTCCTCAAACTTTGCTAGAAAGCTCCACTTATTGTAAGGCCCTCTGCCTTTAACAAAGTAGTACGTGTTTGATAAAATTGGTTGTTTGACTTCGCCTTCCAAAATGACTCGTATCAGGGTTTCCTGGTCTGGCACTACACTGGCAGGACAATATAAGTTGCTAGTGGCTTACAAAAATTTTTAAATTTAAGCATTTTCTGATGTGCTGCCTCTGTGGGTAAGGTTTGGTTAAGGTTAGGCAACTTAAGGGCAAGGAAAGGTTGTGGTCATGGTTAAAAGAAATCAATGTTGCCTGCTGGTAGAAGATTGGATGCGAAATGTGGTCTCCAGTTTCAAATACTTTTAAACAGTTGGACACGTCTCTATAATAACAAGTCCTCCAAATTAAAAGACAAAATAAGTAGTTCATGGCCTACAACAACACATAGAAGGGTTTTCTGAACTGATGCCTGTATCAGAAGCATGATATCATTTGTTTGTGCCTTCCAAAATGTGACATAATGTGACGATGAAAGTTGTTAAGTTTGATTTAGGCATAGAGAAGACTTTGGAATTAATAATAATAGGAAAACATTGTGGTCTTGTTTAAAATAAGTACTTACTTAAAGGTTAACTTCAGTGTTTTTCAACCTGGACCCTATTTCTTGTGTCTAAGTGACTAAAAGGGACAACATTTTTTGAAACTGGTCCAGTATTGAGTGAGTGCAATGCAGTTAGTAGAAGGGAAACAGAGCCACAACATAATCCTTCCTGGCAATTAGTCACCATCAAAGTATGTCCACTACAGCATATCTCAGCATGCATGGACATATATTTGCTACTTTGGCAACCCTTTCTTTCTTTCTCCCCCCCCTTTCTCGGACTGTATGTGAGAGTGGGAGAATTTGATCTGTGTTCAAAGTGTTTGATGATTGACGTTTGAGGAGTAAAAAAAACAGAACTTCAGTTACCAGAAGATCCTGTAACAATGTAATGTAATGCCAGTAACTGCACACAGCATTCTCAAAAGTGTGTGTGTACTAAAGAGCAAGAGAGTAAAAAGGTCTATAGTGGGTCGCGCCAGTTTTATCAGCACAGTGTGTTCTTTCGCAAGCAGTTTAGCTGACACTTTGGATTTCATTCTTAAATTTTAATTTGTTACTTCCTCTCAATACATATGTCACTATACCAAACAAAAGGGTCTCATTTGGGCTGTCAGGATGAATGTATGGGATGTCTTTACTTTGGGATCGGAAGCTTTTGTCTGTCACTGCCTGATTCTGTGTTAAAACAAGTGTATTCATAACATTCTTGCCAATTGCAGATTTAACAAGAACAGCACAAAGAAAACGTTTTTTTCTTTTACAGTGACACCAGAGGGTGAGTAAAGTCTGAGGTTTAGATTTATAGGCTTGGGGTGGTCCAGCAACGCATCCACTGAGCAGCAGAAGCTGGTAGTTAAATGCCTTGCTCAAGGGCAAACTGGCTACAGTTGCCATGGGAAGGCAGAAGAGTCCCTATTCAGGTCTCCAAAAAGGTGTTCCCAGAATGTTTTGAAAGTACAACCTAGCCTTACCCTTCTCCCAACACCCGTGAATTACAGTGTGTGCCAAAAAAGATGGCATATTGATTCCCACCTCTATGCTTTGAATCAAACGTGCCCATGCCTGCTTTGGATCGAATTCTTCCAAAGGTTTCTCTCCTGTGTCCCCGCCTCTGCTTCCACTCTGTATCCCTTCTAGTGACTCCAAAAGCTACCTTGCCCTTAAATTTTTTTGCAATGCTGATGCCAGGAGAGGATGTGGGACAGGTTTCTGCTAGGTCATAATATATATAAAAACAACAACTTTGAATGGGCTGATTAAGAGGTGGTAATGCATTCAAATTAATGCCAGCTCCTGAAATGTGTTCTTTTCTGAGTGTCTGCCTGCTGATATATAGTCTTGCAGAGACACATGGTGAGAAAAATTAGAAAGGGAGGCGGAGAGGGAAAGAGGGAAAGAGAAAGAAAAAAAATTGACCAGCAATGGAGCTGATTCACACATTGGAACAGCTTTCAAGGCCGCAGTGCATAAAGACTTGCTGGGCAATGAAGATACAGTTTCGTGATAATGTCACAAGGCCAGCCACAGCACAACACTCTGCTCTGTGTTTCTGATACAGTTTCTTCAACTTGTCTGTCTCACATCTACTTTCACTCAGATTTTTCTCATCTTGGCCATTGCTGGATGAATACGAAGAATGTTTATGGTTTTCTACACATACCAATATGAACATTACTGATGTTTTTTTTTCAAATTCTTTTTTCATTTATAGGGAAAATGCACATTAACCAACATTTCTGTAAATGTGCCAGTGTTATCCAGCTGGGA